CGCGGGGCACCCCCGGCCCCCGCAGCGCCGCAGGTCGCGCCGCGCCGCAGGCACCCATACGCACGCGCACTCACACCCAGCCCGCGGCCGGCTTCAAACCACAGGCCGCCACTCTCCTCCCCTCCCCTCCCCCGCAGCCCAGCCCCGCCCCTACCTGACGTCCCCGGCGCGAGGCAGAGGCAGACTGGCGATTGGCTGCCCGTTGGCTACGCCCTAGGGGCGGAGCCTGGAAGACCGGGGGCAATTCGGCGAAGGCGAATTGAAAGCTGGATGGGCGGGGCCAAGAGCTCCGCATGCGCCCTTCTTGGCGGGGCTGCTCCGGCCAGACACGTGAAGGTCGCTCGCGGCCGGAGCTGGGATGGAGGCGTCGTCTCCCACGGGGTTGAGTGTCAGCGACCCACAGCTGCAGCACTTCATCGAGGTGGAGACGCAGAAGCAGCGCTTCCAGCAGCTGGTGCATCAGATGACCGAGTTGTGCTGGGTGAGCGCCGCGCTGGGCCCGAGGGGAGTTCCGGGGCAAGGGGAGGGAAGCCGGGCAAGAGCGCTCTGGACCCCCTGGCGCCGGTGTAGCGCAGACCCATCCGGGGACGCCTGACCTTTGCCCTGGCGCACCGAGAGAACGAGGTACCTGGAGCCGCTGCTCCTTCGCGGGAAGGCCCAGAGCCAGACGCCGGGTCTGGCCCCGGCTCGCGGGCGTTGCCTCGGTGGATTTAGTACCGCCTTAAATGGTGTCGGTCCCTAGCCAGGGAGGCAGCGGAAGGGTTGGTGGGAGAGAACCAGATATTTCTCCCTCTTCCCCAGGCCTCCCCACAGCACCCCCAAGAGCAAGTTTCTTCCTCTGGGAAGTGCATGCTTTGGGCTCTTGTAATTCTCCCCTGACTGGCTCTTTGTGTCTCGAGCAGGAGAAATGCATGGACAAGCCAGGGCCCAAGCTGGACAGCCGGGCAGAGACCTGCTTTGTTAACTGTGTTGAACGTTTCATAGACACCAGTCAGTTCATTCTGAACCGGCTAGAGCAGACGCAGAAATCCAAGTCGGCCTTCTCCGAGAGCCTGACTGATTGACCTGGCACCGGCTCCTCCAGCCCCTCAATGAGGAGAACTGCACGTCAGTGGGGAGAGCAGCTGATGGGACACCTGTAGAACACAAGCTCTGGGGAGGCTGGCCCCCTCCTTTGCATCAGACTAGAGCACTCTGTCACCTGCCTCAGCTCTGACCAGCTACTCAGTTTTACTTAAATGCAAGTTGTGACAATTACAGCCAGATGAGGCTGTAACAGATGCACGTTTACTACTCCAAGTGGCACTGTACTGTTCCCATTCCCACCTGTTGCCTTCCATGTACAGGCTTTGTGCTGAGGCTAGTATGTTGAGCACAATAGCTCCAAAATGTCCAACTCTGCAAAAGGTTTTGTGCATCTCGGAGGGAGTGCTCCTGTATTGGTACAAAGTGGAGGTAATGGGAATACTAATGTGAATCCCAAGTCCAGGGTTGGGACCATTCCTTTTAATGGTACTAAGTTCACATTCAGCTTCCTAATTAACCCTCTCCTTGCACCACTCTTCAGACTGTGCAGCCATACTGACATTTGCTCTCCAGACCCATGGGGAATGGCGTTGAGCAGAAGACAGCCTGGGTCACAGGTCTGCACCAGTATAGCTGTGTCAACAACCCTGAAAAGAGCTTGCTTGGCAGTGAGAACTTTCCCAGTAATTTAAGATTATGGGAAATAATTTTAAAGCTTGTGAAGGTAAAGTCAGTCATGTGGCTCAGTAACAACTGTTTTAAAGCAGAACTGCAACATTTACTATTGGCTTGCTCCACTAAGTGCGTTCTCCCAAACATTAGAATAAATATGAATTGGATCAGTTTTTAAAATAAGCATGTCTTGTATCTAGGGGTGGGCTGGCAGGACTCTCTGACCTACCCTTTACCTTGTGTCACTACTGTTCAGTTTTATTATCAATAACTGAAGTAGAAATAGACTTGCTAATTTCTAATGTTAAATACAAGTCCTCTGGTTCCTACTAGGCAGTCTGATTACGGATTCTGATTTTTCTGCTCGCTGTAAAGTGGTTTAATGTATTGGTTTCCTGGACTAGATTTGTTTATCTAGTTACTAAAACAAATAGTCTATGCCCAGATAATTAAAGCAGTAAATTTTCTTAACAGAATGGGTTCAGGCATCCTAAGTAGTGCAAGCTCTTCTGGAAAAAAATTAACAGGTAACTTGTTCTGTGACCCTTTCATCCCTCTGAGCTACTAACCACAGGTCTGTTTGTATCTGTGCCTTTCAATCATTTTCCCATAGAAACTGGACTGGAAGTTCTGCCTCATTCCACAAACCACTCAAACACTCATTGAATAGCCTGATCCTACTATTAATTTAGTCTTTTTGGAAACCCCAAATAAATGCTGTTGAAATTTGTGTGGTTCAGCCTCTTTCCATGAAGTATGGTGTGACATGGCAGTAAATTACACTTCAGTAGGAAACAGTGCTGCTAGTTGGCCATACCAAGTCATGTGACAGTCTAAACACAAGTACAAGTGTGCACCTTTCATCAGAGGGAAGAAATGGATTTACAACTGTAACACTATCCTCTACTTGTCTGAAAGAGGATAGTGACCAACTGATGTCTTCCACCTTGGATGATTTTTTTCCAAGTCCTTATTTAACTATATTAGCTTACCTAAGTCTCACTCTGGTTTCCAAAATTACAATTGCACTCAGGTCTCTCTTCATGCAAGGGTTGCATGCCAAAAAACCCTTACATAAAGCAAATCCATTATTACAGGTAATTAATAGGGATATGTACCAAGTTCCCTGCCATCCTGCTTCCTTCCCCTGCAACCCAGTGCATCAGGGAGCAGAGAAGCCATGTGATCTTCCCACCTGCGGCTGCTTGTCCTGTACTGCCCTGGCAACGTGCCTCTTGCACGCAGAGCTCACAGCTTCTCCACAGGGCCCCAATGATCCCAACCAAGCTGGGTCACCCACCAGGCTGCAGAAGTCCGGGGGAGGGAAGCAGCAGCATGGTTTCCTGCCACCCTGCTTCCCTCCCCCGGGCTCTGTAGCCCACCAGGTGCAACCCGGTGTGGCTGGGATCAGGAGGGCCACACAGAAGCTGTGAGCTGGGGCCCTGCAGCTGCAGTGTGGCCCAGGCCCCAAGCACTGCCCAGCTGGGCGGCAGCAGCCCCAGCCCAGCCATGCCCAGCTCCCTCCCTACAGGGGCCTCAATCCCCCTCTTGCCTACCACTTACCTGCTGGAGCTGCTCTCAAGGCTACTTGGGGCCACATACATTGCTGTATATGCACATGGTCCCCCATCTCACTGTCTTCCTTCTGCTTTCTCCCAGCCCCCTGCAGGCTGGAACTCTGCCAGCTTCCCACAAAGCAATTTCTTCTTGCATACAATGAATTTCTGGTGTAAATAATGTCTCACATATAAGCAAATTCACACAAAACAAATTTGCATAAAGAGAGACCCAAGTGTAGTAGTATAATGACAATGGATGTAGGAGACAAATCTACCTTCTCTTTCTTAGAGGAAATCCCCTACTTGATACTACACAGCTGTTATATTCTACAAGTTGACTTTTGAACACATCCAGACACCCTTTTAGAATAACGGCACACTATCCCCAGTCAGTAGAGGTGCACCGATATAAAGAAAATTCATGTTCTTCATACCACTGTGTGTCATTTCAGTGGCTATTGGCATGAATATGTTGCAGGCCACACTGGCAATGGAGCAAATCTGTTTTAATCAATTATGGTAAATGGACATATTCCCTTCCCAGTGAAACATACCAGAAAGGAGTCACACTTCACAAAGGAACCAGATTCAAAGAGCCAGGATAGCACCACTGCAGAGTTTATCTAGTCCTGCTCTTGATTTTGACTCAGTAAATAACCTCTTAAAGTGAGCAGAGAAGGCACTTTAAGGCTGTACAAATGAACTTCTGAAACATACTGAATACTTCCAATGTTAAAACACTTGAGTCACCTGTGTTGCTATAGGTGCAGCAATAACACTGCAAGGATCAGCACTTCAGAATACTTTGCAAAAGTTAGACTTTCAATATAAAAAAAATGTTTAAGGCCACCTAAAATGGTTTTTACATTCAAAAAGGGTTGTTATAATTATCGCCAGGTTGCTTCATACATCCATAGACCTATGCCTCAATAGTAGAGCAGCAACCACAGCACATTCTGATAGAGAGGAACACACTGAGAAGGAACCAGAACACATTGGTAGGTGTTTTGCCCAGGTCTGGTGTTCTGAGCACCTGGAAGCTAGTCAAGTCTCCTGGCATGATATTCAGGTCCATTACCAGTGGGAGATCACAGTTCACTGATAAACATGATGCTTGTTTACTCCCGGCAACAGTTGGAGCTGGTGATGTTCATTTGAGCTTGCTGCATCAGACCAAAGTGGAGATCAGTAGCAGGACTAAAAAACTACCAGTAGCAATTCAAGGCTTCTCAGGCATCTAGTAGTGGTTGTTAAAGTTTTGTTGTTTTCCAAGCATTCATACACTTCCTACTTCCTCCTCCTCTTTTACACTTTGAGAACCTTTATGGATGTCCTCTGGGACCAGAAGGGGCTGATGTAGACATGACTGGTGCCTTTCTGCCCCGCTCCAAGATGAGGTACGCAGGTCTGCCCCTCCTTGCCTTAGGAAGAGGGGCAGCAGGTCTGGGGTAAAGGGCATGTCTCTGAAGGCATGTAGAAGGAAAATGCCAGAGACTATGGTGATGAAGCCACTTATTGTGCCAATTATGTTGTCCAGGGCCATGTGTTGCCACTCCTTGAAAAGAATGGCTGAACACATCATGACAGCTGTGGTGAACAGGACATAGTAAACTGGCGTGACCACAGATGTATTGAAGATGTCCAAAGCCTTGTTCAGGTAATTGATCTGGACACTGACACAGACCCCCAGGCAAGCTGGTAGCACCCATATCAGTGGTTCTTTCAGCACTGGCTTCCCAGCAAACAGTTCTTTGAGTGCAATGCCCAGGCCCTTGACACAGGACACAGAGAGAGAGCCAATGGCAGAGCAGACCAAAACATATACTAAGACGTTGCTCCTACCATAACGAGGCCCAGCCACGAAGATGAGGAGAATGGAGCTCACCAGCACACACACAGCGAAGACAATGAATCCTTAGATCAGAATGAGAATCATTAAGATTTGCAACATAGTGGGTAATGCTGTTATACATCTGTGCTGCATGTAATGTGTGCTGTGAACACTGACAGGAGAGAGAGAATGGGTAAGAATGGTAACTAGAACAGCAGAGGGCTGTAAGTCAGGACTGGAGATACTAGCAGAGCTCTGCAGGCTGGGATTAAGGCTCTTCTAGTCTTGCTACACGTTGCATCGGCAGGGCCCTGTGATAAGGGCCTGTGATGAGTTGTAGCTTGATCTGCTTGGTTTCTCTCCTCTGCAATTTCACTCACTACCCTTAATACTACTGCCCAAATCAATCCCTTGTTTCCAACTGCTACATCCCATGTTTTTATTGTAGGGGTATCTCTCTCTAAGTTCTCCTGTGCTTCCCTCACTCACTTTAAGTTTCTTTTCTAACTAGTCTTCTCCTAGTCTTATGTTGCCTCTCTCATGTACTGACAATCCTCTCATCTACACCAGTGTTGCATTAAGATAAATTGTGGCTGCTGATTCTTGCTTCCTTTGTAACTCTTGCCTAACAATTTCATATCAAAGGGGCCATATGAAAAACAAATATAGTGTGCACCTACACCATACATCTTGTGCCAGGCTTGACAACAGCCACTGCTGTTATACAAATAGACTTTTTGCCAATTGCTTTTAATATTACGTATTTTCTTGAGTTTTGCATTGCCTTAAGAAACTCCATTTTGCATTGCTCTTCAGCTTGATATAAGTGCTCGACCTTTGTATGCTATATGTGTGACAGAACGGGTGAGAGTGTGTCTGTGGAAAAGGAAAACATCAGCTGACGACTGGCTGAAAAATGCAGACAGATAAAAGACCAAAACAAGAAGAATCTGCCCCAGAACTGTGAGGGAAGAGCAATCGACCTTCAAGGAAGAACATAGTTATAACACAGCAAAGCCCAGAGGACTGGATGAATTGACATGGCTATAAAAGATGGGGCGAGACATTTCAAATTTGGGTCTTGTTCCGTGTGTCATCCTGGAACATTGGTTCATCTGATGAGATGGACCAGCAGGAGCCCGGCTCCTACTCGTGATCAACTTGACTGGTCACTAAATTGATCCGAGTACTGGGAAGACTGGTAATGTATACCAGCGCAGAACAGAAACTGGAGTATGAATGTGGTGTGTGTGCACGCGCACACTTAATAAACCAGGCATCTTGCCCTCTCTCATAAGGTCTCACTCTTGATTTGAGCAATTGGCAATTTGTGTAACACTGCCTCTCCACTTGGTGGCAGAGGCTTTTACACTCAGTCCCCAAAAACACGAACAATCCAATTTTTAAGCAACAAGAGTCCTACCAGCCATCACAGAGCATATTTCTTTTGACTGGGTATGGAACAAGCAGGAGGAATGGATTACTGTTTAACCTCCCCAGTCTAGACAAGTAATTCTGCCTACTGCCATCTCTTATAAAGAGGTGAGATGAACACTGTATTTGGGGTACCTGGATCTTTAAGCTTCTCTGCCATTGATTCCAAGCTGGATACTTCCTCTTCTTGTGGAGCATGGATAACCATCACTGTAGAGCCCAGGATACTTAGGATGCAGCCAATCTTCCCATGGATGTTCAGTCGTTCGTTCAGAAAGGAGGATGACAAAACCGCGCTGTAGGATTGAAGTCAGAGGATGGAGTATTTGAAGAAGATAAGGTGAGGGTAGAGAACTGTTTTCACTGGGAAGAGCAAAGGCATGGGTGTTGATTTTTCTGATGGTGCTCACCTAACTAGAACACTTAATGCGCCCAACGGTGTTACCACTGTTGCTGGGGCAAAGGCATATGCAGCAAAATTCACTGCTTCTCCAATTCCCACTGCAAGACAGAGGACAGTCAGTCACAGGAATGCAACTTAAAATGGAGCAAGTTCGACAGAATATGGGTTTGGTTGCACATAGCGCACAATCAGTTACTGAATAGAGGTACAGTCATCACTACCCACCTGGATTTCACTATGACCCCACCATTTATTATCCACAGCTATGTAGTCAAACTGTCTGATACAGACAAGGATCAAACATATCAAAGACAAGCCTCTAATGTATATATGGGAACACTGCTAATCAACAACAGAGAAAGGAAAGATCAATAATATTTGTGAAGTTCAAAGGGGTTATGGCAAATTGTATTTGCCTAATTTGCCTTTGTGTGATAGGAATGGTTTTTACAGTTGATAGACATCCTACAGCATCTGTTAGCATCATATTAGTGAATTACCATAAGCAACATCAGAAATTGAGGAACTGGCTATGCACAGGTTTGACAGGATTTGATTTTTATTGATAGACATCCATTTCACCTGACACTGATAGATGGAAAAATATTTCCATCGGTAATTATAAAAAAATAAATAAATTCTGGCATGGAGGTATAGAAATGGGGGGCAGGGGGCACTTTACACATGCACATACACACCAGCCACTGTGCCGTTAAGACTGTGTCAAAGGTGGCAGGGCTGCAGGGGCAGGGCTGGTAGCAGTAAGGAGCCCAGTACCAACAGCCCCTAACTGTGCCCAGCTGAGGAAAAGCAAAGTCCCAAGAGCCTGTTCCAGCCTGGCCTCTGTGGGAGTTTGGCCCCTGCCCTGATCACCCAGGGGTCAGGCCAGGCTCCGGAGGAGTTTGGCCCTTGCTCAGATCACACAAGGGCCAAACACCTGTGGAGAGCTGATCCAAAACACACCCCTAATTTGGCGCAATCCTGAAAGTTTCAAATCAATAAAAAAAATCAGAAAAAAAGCTTAAAAATAAACATGGATTTTAGCCATCCAAATAATAATAATAAAATTGAATTCTGCCAAGCCTGGCTACACAGGTACGGTGATTTCCATAATTACCTAACATACTATGCAGGGTGAGCAAGCCCTTTTGAAAGTTATTGTACCATCTGATTTACCCATGATTTAATTTACAACACTTAGAAACATGCAAGATTTTAACATGCAACACAGAAAGGCAACGTTACCACAGTGCTCAGGGATAAAGTCAAGCAGCTGAACCTTGATTTGACAAAGGGAACATGACAATAAGGCAAACAAGAGCAATCAAAACTTTAACAACCGTGATCCTGACATCATTTGCTGACAGTAGCATCAAGACTGCTGAAATCTCCCAAAGCGCAGAGCCTGCTCGACCAGCAGGGACGTAAGACTGGAAGGGACCTCATGCAGCTGCCTGGTCCAGGCCCTGCTCAGGTCCTGCTGGATCCATCCCCGCCAACTGCCTGTCTGACCTGCTTTGGGCAGCTTCCAGGAATGCAGAGGCCTGGCTTCTCTGGGAGCCTGTGCCAATGCTGAAACACCCTCAGTATTAGAAAGCTCCTAATCTCCAGCCTAAGCTTCCCCTGCCGTTGGTCCTCGGTCTGTCCCTGCAGTCCCAGAGAAGAGCCACCCCCATGGCCCCGCAGGCAGGTGAACATCCTTATCTCCTCCCTCGGGCCTCCCCGCTCCAGCCTCCTCACAAGTCTCGTCTCCCCCTCCCGGCTCCTGCTCGCCCCCCGCGGCGCAGGCGAGACCTCCCCGAGGCGGCGGAGCGCGCGGCGCCGGAGCTGCCCGACTGGCGGGCGGGTCGCACTTACTGCATAACAGCCCGGCCCACCACAGCCAC